GCTCACTTGGTAGCCCAGGCTGGCCTCGAACTCACAGAGATCCGCCTGGCTCTGCCTCCCGAGTGCTGGGATTAAAGGTGTGCGCCACCAACGCCCGGCGGAACTTTCTTATTCTTATCTCACTGTTTTCGAGCTATTGCTGCTTTGATCTCTACAAGGGAGTTTATTTAGCATTATTATTATTTGTAGTAGTTAGCAGTAGTAGAAGTAGTAGTTAGCATTGTTATTATTATTATTATTAGTGGTAGTATCTAACATTAATAGTAGCATTTAGCATTATTACTACTAGTGGGAGTATTTAGCATTATTACTGCCAGTAATATTTAGCATTAGTCGTAGTAGTATTTGGCATTAGTAGTATTTAACATTATTACTAGTAGTCATATTTAGCATTATTACTACTAGTGGTCATATTTTGCATTATTACTATTAGTGGCAGTATTTAGTATTATTGTTAGCAATATTATTTAGCATTGTTAGTACTTTTTAGCATTAGTAGTAGTAATTGTAGTAGTATTTAGCATCAGTATTATTAGTAATGGTAGTATTTAGCATTATCAGTGGTAGTATTTAGCATTATTAGTAGTAGTGTAGTATTTAGCATTATTATTAGTAGTAGTAGTTAAGCATTAGTAGTGGTGGTATTTAGCATTATATTTTTAGCAGTAGTATTTAGCACTACTACTAGTAGTAGTATATAGCAGGTATCTTAACAGTTCTTATTAATAAAATCAAACCTGAGGCCAGTTATTGGAGTGAACACTGGAAGGTCAGAGAGACAGAACAAGCCACAGCTTCCTCACCTGGCCAACTTCTCAGCTGGTCTTGTTTCCTCAGACCCGAAACCTCTGTGTCCTCATCCAAATGGATCTCAGCTGAACTGTGCTGCCCAAAACCTAAAAGCTTAACCAGGCAAATGCTGCTAGTTTCTGGTCCTCACTCCTTATATACCTTTCTGCCTTCTACCACCACTCCCTGGGATTGAAGGCTGGCTTTCTGGGATTAAAGGCGTGTGTTACCATGCCTGTCTGTATCCTTGAACACATGGATTCCTGCCTCTGGAATGCTAGGATTAAAGGCGTGTGCTACCACTGCCTATCCTTTATGTTTAATATTGTGGCTGTTCTGTCTCTGACCCCAGATAAGTTTATTAGGGTGCACAATATTTTGGGGAACACAATACCACCTCAGTAGTACTTAAGAATTATTATTAGTAGTAATATTTAGCATTGTTGTTATTAATAGTAGTACTTAAGCATTAGTGGTAGTAGTAGTAATTAGCATTGTTGTTATTATTATTATTATTAGTAGTAGTAGTAGTAGTAGTAAATTTAGCATTGGTGGTGGTAGTAGTAGTAGTAGTAGTAGTTAGCACTACTACTAGTAGTAGTAATATGGCGTTCGGGACCCCCAGGAAAAGACCACTGACTTAATCAGGATTATAATTAGTTAAACATATTAAAGCTGCTGCTTTCAGGACAGCAATCTCTGAGTAGGACTTGAGATTGCCGCACCAAGTGAGAGTAGAGAATGAGGGAAGGGTCTTTACAGGTGAGAACCACAAGAAGGCCTTGAGTGTCTGCACAAGAAAGCCAAGAGCTGTTCTACTCTGCCAAGATTAGGTGGTCAAGACGACCTCGAAACAGCCTTGAATGTCTGCATATGTAGGTTACCGAAGTCAAAAAAGCAGTAAATCATATCATAACATGTAGACAGTAATTGTTGTACATTTCTGGATGGGAGTCACCGAGTCAGGATTACTAGTAACTTATCTTCCAGGGACTGGAGTCAGAGGCAGTGGCTGGTGGGTATCAAGGTGGATGCCTAACATAAAATGGAGTTTCTTTAGCCATCACAGTGCTAGCGTTTGAATTGATTGGGTCCTGAGACCTCTGAAACACAGTGACTGGGATCAAGATGAAGATACTATTCGCAAGCTCAAGGCAGTGAATATAAAGAGAGAGAGACAAGATAGGAGCATCACACCTCTTCGTGTTACCACCAGGCTGCCACCTCACCAGACCCCTGGAGGAGAAACGGCAGGCCACCTGGCAGCTCTGTTGACTTGGTAGCTGAGCTGGAAAGGACCCCAGGAGTCAACTTGAGGTGCCTCGTTTTCTAGTGTTGGGAGCTTCGATCTATTTCCCAATGAAACCCGAGTCGCCGTGAAATACACGCTTATTTACTGTAGTCCTGGTGGCCCCGTTGGCTCCTCTCCCTCCCACACCCCTGCTATCCACTGCTACTGGTCGCACCTCTTCTTAGAGCTCAAGTTTCACTGTTGTGGGCTTCCTCATCGTCCTCTCACCTGGATGACTGGAATACACTCAGAGGCCCTGGCTCACCTCTTCTTCCCCCTTCACCACCACCCCCCCCCTTTAAAGTATATATCATTTGCACAAAAATGATGGGTTTTCACAGATGCTTCATACAGTGCACTTGGATCATCCCCACCATCACCCTTGGTCCTCCCTGGTCCTCATGTCACCTCCCGACATGGAGTATTTGTCTTTCTGAGTTCAACTTATTTTGATCGACACAGTGATCTCCAGGTCCCTGCACCCCTATAGCCACTGTGGCACGGGTCACCAAAGCCACCTCATGGAATTAGCCTAGGTGCCCATCCCTGGGTGAATCGGTAAAGAAAACGGGGCTTCTCAGGGCTGGAGAGACAGCTCAGCGGTTAAGAGTACTTACTGCTCTCATAGAGGACCATTCAGTTTTCAGTACCTGCTTGGTGGCTCAGATGTGTCTGTGACTCCAGTTCCAGGAGATCTGACACCCTCTTCTCTGTAGACCAGGCTGCCCTTGAACTCACAGAGGTCTGCCTGCTTCTGCCTCTGGAGTGCTGGGAATCAAGGCCCTGACACCTCTTCTGATCTCCATGGGCCCCAGGCACACACATGGCACACATACATATGCGCCAGGTAATACTCACACACATCAAAATAAAAAGATTTAAAAATGGGCCCGGCGGTGGTGGCGCACGCCTCTAATCCCAGCACTCGGGAGGCAGAGCCAGGCGGATCTCTGTGAATTCGAGGCCAGCCTGGTCTACAGAGTGAGATCCAGGACAGGCACCAAAACTACACAGAGAAACCCTGTCTCGGAAAAAAAAAAAAAAAAAAAAAAAAAAAAAAAAAAGATTTTAAAATGGGCTTCACATACACAATGCAATATTATTCAGACCCCTCACTACATTTTGAGAAAACAACTCTGAGCTAATCTCTTTTCTGAGATGGTCTTTGGTAGCCTCCTGATGCCCCAAGCAGTGCTTTGTAAACTTGATCATAGGTTTGAGTCATCTGGATCCAGGACTGGATTGATGGTCTATTGGCTAGGAGTGCTTGGCGGCTCACAATCACCTGTAACTACAACACCAGAGGATCTGCCACCCTTGTCTGACCTCCTCGGCACCCTCACACATCATCTGCCACCTGCACACATGTGGCACGTGCAGGCACACGCTTTTTTAATGGGCTCACCTGGATACAGATTGCTGTTACCTACCCCCAGTGTTTCTGACCCAGTAGGTGAGGTAGGGTGGGCCCAAGAATGTACACTTCTAGCAAGTTCTGAAGTAATACTGAGGCTGCTGGTCTGGGACCACATTTTTAAGAACCACTGGCCTGGGAAAGAAAATCGTGGTTCTGTAGCTAGCTTGGCCACAGAACACTTTTTATTCTGTTTCGCTTTCTTCCTATCTCTCCCTCAGCACAAAACCCTATGGTCCAGTCACACAAGAACATCAGTTTCACCAAAGCACTGACTATGTGTTTATCCTCTGGTCTTTGCTCTGTATCTTTTCTCTGTGGAATGTCTCTCTGTCTTGTTCCTTTCTTAGAAGTCACCTGTATGGAGCCTGCTTTTAATCCCAGCACTTGGGAAGCAGAATCAGACAGACCTCTGTGAGTTCAAGGCCAGCCTGGCCTACATAGTGAGTTCCAGGACAGCCAAGGCTGAGACCCTGACATACTAAGACCCTGTCTCAAAAAACAAACAACAACAACACCAAAAACCCCAACAACAACAAAAAGGAAGCCACCTACCTGGGAG